GAGCCGGGCTGGAAGGGCCCGGCCGAGCCGCGGACGTGCTCGGTGCGCCAGCCAAGCGGACAGGCCCAGCATTCGCGCGCCCGGCCGGCCACGAGTCAGTCGTGAGAGCGGTGAGAGGGCAAACGCGCAGGTTCTTGAGAGCCAGCAGCCACCCCGCACAGCTGCCTGGGTTGAACTGAGGCCCGAGCCCGTGCGGGCACCGTTCTAAGCACCTTCCCCGCGTCAGCCTGATCTTGCTGGCACCCTCATCTCGGAGGCCCTGTACCCCCTTCACACAGAAGAGCATCTCGCCCAAGTCCACATGGGTAGTGATAGGGCCAGAATCTGAATTCAGGAAAGCTTTGTGAAGTTGAATTTAAATTGGCTTTTCAGGGACTTGCTCCGGGAGTGGCATCCCCACCCTGGCAGACCCGAAATCAACTGTCACGAGGTTGGTGGGGCACATGGACAGGAACCAGAATGGTTCTTTTGTCCCGGGAGTGGGGAGGGGACCCCCAAGAAGCCACAAAGTCAGGGCCCCACAGCCACTGCCAGGTACCATGGGCCCCACAAGATGCTCATGGCAGTGGGCTGAGCTGAGTGCTGCCTAACAAGCTGCGGTTTCCTTGGACAGAGAGGGGCTGTCCAGTTCTGGGGAAATGCCATTTTTGAGTAACTTGATCCCTGATCAAGCATTTTTCTTATTGATTTCAGAGAGAGGAAGAGAGAGAGATACAACCACCAAGGATGAGAGTCGTCATTGATCAGCTGCCTCCTGCATGCCCAATGGGATCGAGCCTGCAACCCCAGCATGTGCCCTGACTGGGAATCGAATCACAATCTCCTGGATCCTAGGTCAATGCTCAGCCACTGAGCCACGCCGGCTGGGCTGGTGAAGCATTTTTCTATTGTCAAGTATTTTGAGGTTGGAATCCACAGGTACTACCCCTTCCAGCCTGGTCCAGAGAGCAGTCTCCATTTAGCCACAGTGCTGGCACCCTTTCTTCCATCTGCACCGCCACTGGCGACCACCCTGACAGCCCCATGAGGTGTGCAAAGACTCAGATAGGGAACTCATGCCCTGGGTCACAGGGCAGAAATCAGGCATGTGGGTGGGTCTGCTGCTGGCCTCCTGACCCATCTGGCAGAGAGAGGACGGCCTAGTGCTCGGCTCCTGTGTCACTGACAAGCTCTAGTGACAACTGCATAAGCTGGGGGGTGGTGAGCACTGTGCATCCTGGACTGGCCTGGTCCCCTCAGATGCCACCATGCCCTTTATCCAGCCCCCTCTTTCCACTGTATACCAGAGGTGGCTCATGAGCAGGGGCCACCCCCAAGTCTAATGGGCACAATTCCTGATCTCAAACGGGAAGCATGGCCTGTGTCCATCCCCTGCTGACCTCGACACTGACCTCCCAATCAGATTATACTGTAAATCAAGAAAAGCACGCCAGCCTGGGTAGGTGGCAGATGGGGGATCCAGAGATGAGGAGGCTGTCAGTCAACCTGGAGTGTCAGGAAGCATAAGGCAAAACTGTAGGGACATTTATTAGCATTTGAAGTCACAGGTCCAGGGGTCTCTCCTGTGTGCTGACTCTGAGGTCCACAGACCTGACAGAGCATGGCCTATGCTGCTCCAATTCCCGCCCTCCAGGCCCAGGTGGCCACCCCCACACGGGCTGGAACCACAACTGACTCAAGCCACAGGTGCAGTCTGTGGCATCGGACGTTGTTTGGCTGCTTCCAGAGGTGTCTCTAGTCCCTGGGGAGTGAGGGTCTGGGTCTCTGATAAGCAGCTACCGCCCTTGCGCACTGGCTCTGAGCACATGACCCTCAGAAACAGCCAGCCCCGCCCCTCTGGGTCAAACATGACAAAGGGTGCCCTGTATTTCGTTTTCTCAGATCTTCCAGATCTAGACTCACAGGGTCCTAAAATGTCTTCACCCCACCCGGACCTGAAAGCAAGAACTGGCTTTTGAAAGCCAAATTCTCGCTGCATTTGGACAGAGTGAGTGTGCCTTTCATATTTTCTTTGTATTTCTCTCCAATAATTGCTTGGCCCAACATCTGTCTGCTCTATACAATGAAAATACAAACTGAAGGAGAATAGAAAAAAATAATTAAAGCATTAAATTGTACAAATTACAAATCTGTTCCAAAATATACTTACATTAAATAAAATACGCATTTCGGTAAGAGATCTACAGTGAAGGACTGCATTCTGGGAAGCCTCGGGACAGGCGGGCCGCCGGCCGTGGGAGGAGCTAAGGCCGCGCACCAATCAGTTCGCAGGGGCTCGCGCCGCCCGCGGCCGGCGGGGGCGCTGCGGCGGGAAGGGGCTGGGGAGCAGCAAGCTGGGTGCCGAGTTCCTCGGCCTCGCCGAGCACCTCCTCGGCCTCGCGGAGCAGGCTCACAAAGTAAACATGGAAGGTAAGCAGACAACGCTAGGCGCAAACACTGGCTGTATTTACGCGGCACCCTCCGGCGGCACGGGCGGTCCG